TTTTTTGTCAAGGTTTTATGTTTGACGCGTGTACGCATAAACAATTATGCATATTATTTGAATGTGTGTATATGTAGCCATGGGTGAACGCATAAGGTTGATTTTTTGTGAAGGTGAGAAATGCAGAGAGGTACAGAGAGAGAGAGACGTAGGAGAACGGGCCTATGAATAATGATTGGACCTAGCAATTAATGAAACTAAATCTTTAAAATGTTGTGGCAAGTTGAGACTTGATGGAGGCCCGGGCCCAAGTCCACCGAGCTACCAATTAAGCGTCTATGAATCACTTGTTAATAAATAATATCTAAACTATTGTTAGTCATGTTAACTTATGCATCTGCACACATATAAATAAAGTATTATAAATTATTTATATGTATATAATATAAAAAAATATAAGTTAAATAATGATATTAAATTTTAAACATAGAATATTATAAGTTATATTTATGCATATAATATTAAAATTATAAGTTAGATACTGGTATTATGTTTAAAAATTTGATAATTGGTTAAAATAAATAGTACAAAATTATTTGATTGCAGAAAATGTAATTAATATTATAATTATTTGTAATTTTGAAAGATCATGACCAATTAATTTTTTGAAAAAAATATTATATTTATTATAACAATTGCTTACGCATGTTAAGAGATTTTATTATTACATTAAAACAAATAAATTTATTTCAAAAAAATTTCTTAATTAGATAAAAAAATATAATAGTGATTTTAGAATAAATAACTAGAACAAAAAATTTTACAATATAAATTTTTACCTTTATGTAACTTTCATATATATCATCTAGTGAAAAATATAATAATTAATTATAATAATTACTATTACATGATACAATAAAAATTATAATTATTACTCAATTAATATAGAACGCACTGACGGAGCTAAACAAGGGCCAGGGAGGCCCGTGGGCCCCCCTCACTTTCTTAAAAAAATCAATATATATATATATAAATACTATAAATATGTATATATAAATACTATAAAAAATGTATATTAATAATTAAAACTTATTAAAAATCAATATATATATATATAAATAAAATAGTATAAAATATGTATAGAAATGTAAAAAGTATTTACAATATATTACTAATTACAACTTATTTCCTATGCTATTTTTATTTAAATTGATAATATTGTTTATTTATTGAAAAATACACTAATAACCCTTATATTTTAAATTTTTAGATAAGCTTTCGAAAGTATTTATAATGATTTACTCTTTTGGTCTCTTA